TAACATTGAGATTGTGAACTTGAGCATAGAAATTATTGAATTTTAAAAATGTGTACCCTAATTTTTATACTGGATAATGATAAAAAATATTTTTTTAAACTTACAGTGACTGGGAGTGTTTCTATCATTTTTTTCGCTGTAAAATTATTGGTAAATATTTTAAGTTGATGATTTTTATGTTAGTCCAAGTAAGCAAGTTAATTTCAAAAATGATTTTTATGACATTATTTATTGGTAGTTTTAATGGGACAATGCATCTTATGAATGAAAAATGTACAGGGTTTCATATTCAATATTTGTATTCAGATTAAGATAGTTTCTTATAGAAAACAATTAAATCATATCTTTTTAAAGGAACGTGTATTGTTTCTACTGGATTTAAAAAGAAAAAAAGACCCTCCGACTAGTGTTGGCCAGTCTAAAAATTGTCCTTTAATGCCAATTTAATATACATCCTTTCATCAAAGGATGCATACTAAATTGAGAACAATATTTTTTTCTCAAGAAAGTATAATTTAACATCTTTCTATATCTATTATATACCCGAGTAAAATGTTTAGTAACAATCTATTACGCTTATAAAAGTAGCAATTTGATACCAGTGAAACCAAATGCACACGTCAAGCTCTTATTTAATATTAGCAAGCTTTTGATTTGCAACGATTAGAACGTAATGACGTCTTGTTAATTTAAGTGTGCAGGTCTCAGTTTTGTACGTTCTCCTCTGAAGTTTGCCGATTCTGTGTTCAGGCCTGAATGAGGACCATTAGGCCTACTATGCTAAACATCGGTGCATCGGTCTTTACGTTCATGTCATTTCTGCATGTGTCGTCAAAAATTGAAATTGATTTACAATACAGGGGTCTCAATTTGCCACAAGTCTCTTATTTTCTATGATTTTTCTCATTCTAGACAGCGCCACCAACGAAAAAGTTAATTTAAAGACGGAATATGCCGAAAAAATAAAAAAAATCCAGTATGGGACGCCAATTAAATTAGATATGACGTGCACAAAGTGCAATAAAAACTGAGTAACCCAAAATTTGGGCCTGGAACCCAGGCATAGGGTCCGAAGTTAGAAGAGGATATTTCTGGAAGATCTGTTTAAACAGGCTTTCTGCTTTCTTAACACATCAAATTTTATTTGCTGTGCATGGTGATACCTATCGGCACTGACTTCCGGGAGACAAAACATGCAAATATCGTAAATTTGCCGAAGGTTTCTTATTTTCCGGGAGGGGTTCAGGCTTGCGGGAGTGCTGAAGGGCTTCTCGATTTTCTGGAGACTCCAACTGACTTCCAGTAGATCAAAGAGTAAAAATATGCAAATATCGTGAATTTACGGGAGATGGGTTAATTTCAGAGAGAAGCCTTGCTTGCGGGAGTGCGGGATTCCTTCTCGATTTCCTGGAGACTCCCATGAGTTACTTTAGGCTTGAGACCCCTGTATCTAGAAACATACAACATATGGATTGTGAACACACTTGCATGTTTTGGTTAAAATGTAGACAACCAGATATTGATATGATGTCTTATTAGACATGAAAACGAAAAGTATTGATGGACTTGTTTGGTTAATCTACTGGTAACTATGTACCTCATTAACTTGACTAAAATAAAGTGCTAACAGCCTTTATAACATTCACTTGGGTAAAATTGCTCAGTTCTCAATTTAACCAATCCAACTTAGGCCTAATGTATTTAATTTTAATAGAATATTTTTGTATTGAATTTTACAGTGTGTATAGTATTATATTTCAAGTTACAGTGTATAAATACATATATTTAATCATTTATATAACAATGGAGGCTTGTATTCAAGTCCAAATGTAGGCCTACCTTTTGCATGGGATTACTGTATTAGCAATAAGAGTATACTAACCAGGGTGATGAGGACGATGATGATGATGATGATACAACAATGACGACTATGATGACAATGATGGTGATGTGAATGATGATGATAGTGATGTGATGTGGGTGTGGATGATTATGATGAAGTTAATGTGGATGATAATGAAGATGATGTGTATGACGATGAGGAGGATGATGGTGATATGAATGAAGATGATAATGACGAGGAGTTTGATTGTGATTATCAGACTGATATTATATAAATGCAAAATAATTAAAAAATTTTTAAGGAAAATGATTGAATTATAGAATAATCTTACCAGTCAAAATGCTGCATGGCAATGTGACAGTCTTAAGGGAAATAGTATTTATAAATACTGTAATGGACCTTTCAGAAGTGACAATCAAACTTCACAACTGAGCAATCAGAATAGGCCAGTATGTGTCCTACAAACACAAGTATGTCTTAGCTTTAGCAAAAACATCCATTGTGTGTGGTGCAGCGGTCCATTATAAAAACATTAAATATATTATATTTATAATATAAATATTATATATTAAATATAATAATATACAACCGAGATATGTGAATTAGGCCTAAAAAAAATTTTTTTGTTTGCCCTTCTTTTTATAAAATAATAAAAAGTGGTTGGTGGAAAAAGGTGTTTTTTTTTGTTTTTGTTTTTTCTCTTTTTTTTTCAAGATTACTCATCAGATGGAGTAAAAATAACCCACAGTTGAGATTTTGCATTGAATGTAGGAATGTAGACCTGGAATTGCAATATCTTACATTAGACAACAAATTTAGACAACCTTGTAGGGCATCTGGCAAAAAAAAAGGATCAATTCACTCACATTTTTTTTTTTTTTTTTAAGAAAAAAGCTAAAAAAATATTTGTTTTTTAAGTTTTTTGTTTTGCTGCCCCTATTTTTTCTGTGAGTTACGGTCGGGTGAGGAAGGCAAACAAACTATTTTTTTAGGCCTTATCATCTCACTAGGGTGAGTAAAATGATTTATACAGATAAAAACATCCAGCTGTTAATATATTATATTTTACTACCATAGCAAAAACTACTACATCACCAATATTATTGTAATTTAAATCAATTTTTTTAATATTAAAAAAAATCTTTTTGAAGTCATAATTTTGTTGAATATTGATCTGTTTACATAGGAAATAAGCTTATTGTTTTTAATGGCATGCATATATGTATATAATAAATTCTTTTAAATACATGTATATGTTTAACAAAATACTGGAAGTATACAGTATAAAAATGTATGTATATTTATATCGTAGTTTAAAGGTATGATGAAAATTAATATAATGGCATTAATATTGGTGTCAAAGAATATTAAATTATAACAAAGTTGTACAGTATTTATAACTGATCAAGTTTATTGGTTTTTGTTGATAATTGTTTTCGTTGAAATTATGCAGAGGAAGAAAATACATAATTTATAGAAGAAAATGATAGCATATGACTAAACAACAATGCTCTGGGAAACGATGTCTGGATGCTGGTTGGGGTACAATATTGACATGCAAAGCTTGTGTGTAATATTTAATGTAAAGTGATAACTTTATGATTATGATGAAGGAACATCGCCCCAATTGGAATTCAAAGTCCGGTTCCCTGCTTAATCAACTACGCCACACTGCGCCCCATGCTTCTACCATGCACAATGCCGTAGCCAGGATTTTCCAAACAGTGCGGATCAATATCAGAGTGGACCCACTTTATGAGTAAATTTTTTAAAATGTGGACCCTTTTTTTCTTGAATCTTGAATCCATTTAGTAAAAATATGTAAAATCTGGACCAATTTTCTTTAAAATTTCACCCATTTTAGGCTAAATATGAAACCATTTTTCGAGAAGTGGACACAATTATGTGTAAAACTGCATAATTTGACCAATTTTTAAAAATGTGGACCCATTCTTTGTGGACCCATTAGAAAAAATGTGGGACAGTCCCAACTGTCCCAATAGCTGGCTACGGCATTGACCATGCATATGGAACAACACTAGATTTTTTTTGACTGCACGAAACACACGCTTTAACAGATATCAAATTAAAACACCATCTGACCCAATAGGATTTTTTCACATGAGAGATACTTTGCATAGGCTAATTCCTATTTTTAACGTTTAATTTTTCTTGACCATCTTACATAATTTTTTTCTCGATATGTCCCATCTTCATAGTCCCGCTCTGCTCTCCCAACATTTGTTGCTTGCTGTTTCCACATCACTCATTCTCTGCTTCTTCCATGTGGGATGAACTCGCTCTTTTTATTCAAAGATTTACCAACACAGCAATCTTTAAAGTTAATTTAAAAACCTGCATTTATTATGAACTTTGAGGGATAATTCCGTCTTTGAAATAGGTGCATATTATTTTTGATGGTTAATATTAATGTGATTAGGGAAAGTATGAAGATACCGATAGTAAAAGACTTGCTGTGCCGTCAGTCATGAACCTAATTTATACATGTATTTGAGTATGCAGGCATTTTATTATTATTATTATTTACCATTTTATTATTTTTATCTTAAGGAAAATACATACAAAACATCATTGAAAATTAAGGAAAAAAACAACTGTACAAGTGCCTTTTTTTAATTAATAGTTTACCATGCTATTACTACCTTCAAGTAAGTAACTGCTTAAATACCAGAGGCCAACGTACAAAGGCCATAATTGGAACATTTTTCATATTTATTTTAAGTTTTTAAGAATAACATGTAGTGAATACCAAAACGAACATTTTTTTCAGAATTACCGGAGGATATATA